TTTTTTTCTCTTTCATTTTATAGTTGTAGTTTACTGATGTATGAACAGAGGTTACATAAAACCAGAGTGAGCGTCCTCTACTGACCAATCAGACTGCAGGGTTTCTAGCTCCACCTTTTAGTACCAGATCTGTGTGCTAGGTACCCCAACAGAGGGGGGACCAAACATGGGGACGCTAAGGAACGCTTCTGTTGGGACCATCCACAACTTTACACTGTGGATAATATGACTGAACCGAACCGGACTGAGTGGTGGAAACAAGGCTTAAAGTCTGTGCACACTGAGGGTTAGTGGAGAACACTCAGATCTCCATGCTGCATGTACTAAAGAGACTTTGCTCCTCACACTGAACCGTCACTTCTTCAGAGAGAAGAACTGACCTCACAAAGAGTAACATGACACAGACGTCCTCAGTCTGTCTGTCTTTTATTGTGTCAGACAGATATATGTGTTTATATCCTTTATGTTCTTTAAATTCATTCTCATGTTTCACTTAGTTTCCAATAATGAAACAGCACAATGTTTATTTCCTCCATATTTCTATAAATATTAATATTCTGGTCTCATTGCTGTGTGTCTTCTATTACGAGCCTCTGTGCTGCATGTTTGTAGAATAAAGCTGAATTATGTTTTATCACCAACATGAATGTTATCTTTTCTGTGTATTAGTGTTCTGCATGCTCATAAACGATCTCAGTAACTTGTCATTTAAATCCAGTCAATAAAAACAGAAATGAATGATGAAGAAACGTCTCCAACTGCAGAGAGGCAGCAGCACACTGACGACAGATGAACAGCTGAGGACAGAATCACTCACGTCAGGACTTCATCATTCGGAGACAACGGAAGAAACGAGAGGTGAAAATAAAGTCGAGTGGGAAAGGAGAGCTGAGAGGATTAACAGGAGCAGAGAGAAGGACGGAGCAGAGGAGCAGAGGAGGAGGAGGAGGAAGAGGAAGGACAAACAGGAGTGTATGGAGAAGAAGAGGGGAAGCTCTCCGTTGGGAGACGAGTGTTCATTAACTACTAATCCCTGTTTTCTGCTCTTTGCATCCCACAAGGATCAAACCCTGGTTATTATCCAGCTGATCCAAACACAGAGGTCACGCTGACTGCAACACGCCGCGCTGTGACATCACTTTAGATTCTACTACGTCTCCACGTCAGAGGGAAATACTGATGTACCTCATACTGCACTGCGTTCATCTGACAGCGGGACTCACTGCTTTATTCACACTTTAAAGCTTCTGTGTGTAACTTCAAATCCTTGTTGTCAGTGACCGCGCCTCTCTGAGCACGCTCAGTGGCTGCGCCTCTCTGAGCACGCTCAGTGACCGCGCCTCTCTGAGCACGCTCAGTGAACTGCATCCTGCCGACCCAACTCTGTAGGTACGAGCCAGCACCTGGACACAGACACAGTGTCCTCACAGTCACTAACTGGGATCACTGGTGACCACTGCTCAGATGAGACTGGAACAAAAAGTGACGGCTGATATGAAAAGGAAGAGAAATAAATGAAAGCAGTGGGAACAGAAACATAAACAGAAACAGGAGCGATGGAAAAACAACTTACTTTGGAAACTAGCTATGGACAGATCCCCTGAAAGGTATGCAAATAAAGAGGCACACAGATGGAAGTTAGTTTTCATGCAGGAGACAGCAGGACGCCACAGCTCAGAGGAAACACACGACCACGACACATCACCTTATTAAACACATCAGCTGTTAACTGCGGGTCAGTATTTACATATATACTTTAGGTCAGGGGCACCTTTAGCCTAGCTTAGCACAAAGACTGGAAGAAGAGGGAAACTGTTAGCCTAGCTTAGCACAAAGACTGGAAGCAGGGGAAACTGTTAGCCTAGCTTAGCACAAAGACTGGAAGCAGGGGGAAACTATTAGCCTAGCTTAGCACAAAGACTGGAAGCAGGGGAAACTGTTAGCCTAGCTTAGCACAAAGACTGGAAGCAGGGGGAAACTATTAGCCTAGCTTAGCACAAAGACTGGAAGCAGGGGAAACTGTTAGCCTAGCTTAGCACAAAGACTGGAAGCAGGGGAAACTGTTAGCCTAGCTTAGCACAAAGACTGGAAGCAGGGGGAAAGAGAAAACTCCTTCGGCCATCTTGAAGACAAGACAGCTGAAAACATTCAATGAACAAATTCAAGTGTTTTACAACATGAAGTCGAGACAACAGAAACAGAAGGAAATACAAAGTAAAGCAATAAACAGGTTTAAAATACAGCGGTTAGAAAACAGAGAAAAGAAAAACCAAGATGAAGCAGAATGAAGTGGAACCAGAGTCAGCTGGACGATAAGTTAAGTCTGATTTAAACGAGGACACTGAGGCAGATGGTTCATACTCTGTGGATCTGAAAAGTTTCTGTCGTCTCAACTTTGGTCTCTGGGAATGGTCTTAGCTCGAGGCTCAACAGCACAGTCATGTAACTGTAGGCGCAGCGCTTTAGAAGTCGGTCTTAAAATCTTATAGAATCAATTTTAAAACGAACAGGCAGCTGATGTAAAGAAGTTAAAACATTAACATCGACAAATCTAGACTCATCATCAACTCTGATTTTCTGTCATCACTCAGTGTGCTGACGCAGATCCACAGTCTCCATTTTTCAGTATCAATAATCAATAAGAAAATAATCTGACTAGGGATGGGTCACGATTTTCGAATTTTCAAACAGTCGTTTTATTTTGAAAAATCGATTTTTTATTGCGACTATTACTATTCGCCGTCTTATTTCCCCCCTTTATTTGACATGCAGTTCAGCTCCTAACCGCACGAGGGCAGTATAGGATTGCTACAGTGGTGTGAGATGGGCTACCAGCTAGTTTGATGCTCTTCTACAAACAGGAGAAACATGCAGAGACTACTACAGTCATCAAAAAGTTCCGCGTGGAACAACTTCGACAAAATAAACGAAAATGAGGTGCAGTGCAAACTCTGTGAGGCAAAGCTTGCGTATCACAAGTCTACAACAAGTATGCACAGTCATTTGAGAGCGAGGCACGCAGGAGGCGGCGAGGGACCGTACGGCCGGGCTCAGCGGTGCGACACGTCTGCAGCGCGAGTCCCGTAGCAGCTCGCCCCCCTGTTAATCATTTACTGCGACTCCACCGGCAACGGGAGCAGCGACAACTCTCTATTTTACGCGGCTCTTCAATTTTTGTTGCGTTACGCTCCCCTACGCGACCCTCCAGCAGATAAAAACTACATGAAATAGTGTGCTAAACGAGCACAGTGTGTTTTTAAATGAATAAACCATTATCAGAGGTGATATGTGATGATTTTTTTTCATACATTTACCCATGTTTATCCGTGACATTGTGTAAATGTCCGTGGCGGACATTTGAAAGTGAGTAGATGACAAACAGTACAGTAAACTTGTAGATAACTCAAATACATGTAATAACTTAGGTGGAAAATGCTTTAACATTTCATGCAGCCTACATGCAGCCTCTCACTTCTCTACGTGTCGCTTCCGTACGCAGTCAGTGGAGCCCAAATGAATACACCACGACGCTACGCTGACGTGACGTTTTGCAGCCGGTGGAGCCCGGCCGTAATGATGAATGGATCTCTGTGTGCGTGGCTCGGGGGGGGGGGGGATTATTCGAAAAATCGTCGAATAGTTACCGTGATTTTCGAATAGTGTTTTTGCTTGTGCTGCCCATCCCTAAATCTGACATATCAGTTTATTGCTGCTGTGATTCTACTCTGTAAATGATGCTCAGGAAACAACACAGACTCTGTTCAATCTGCAGAAACATCCAGGACAGCTTCACTCACACACTCCGATGTGTGTGCTGAAACACACACACACACACACACACACACAGATAATTGAAGCCATAAATCAAACAGAGATGTGGTTAAAATAAACCCTGTGTAGAGAACCAGTCATGGCCTCAATTTATTTATGGAAATTCACGAAAGCAAACGATGAAATCTGACCTGAAAGAAAAACCCACACCTGACGGGACGAAGAGACAGAAACAAAAACTACATCCCAGAGAGGCGGAGCTAGAACCAGGAACACATCATGATTTATTTACTTTAAAGACTACTGAACAGCTGGAGACAACAGGAAGTCTGCAGAGACAGAGACAGACAGACAGACAGACAGACAGACAGGGACCACCTACTCTGCAGACTGGGCAGGTTGGCGTCCTCAGGTTTGGTTTTCAGCAGGTGAGGAAGACGAGTGTATCTGTAGCCAAAACCGCAACCCTGAAAAACAACACGCCGTGATGTCACAACGACACACCAACACTCCTTCACCTCAGGAACAGGAAGAACAGAACAGTGTTTGAAAACTGCGTCAGCAGGTTACTCTGGTCAAAGAACAAAAGTATCAGCATCAAAATATACTCAAAGTACCAAAAGTAAAAGTACTCATTCTGCAGAGTAATCTGTATGATGTCACTGATGCATTAATGAGTTGATCATGACTTTACATAGCGATGAGTAGTTTCATCTCTAATTATCCATCATCACTGATTATTGATTATATTTTGTGTCGATAACCTGTAAAGTAACTAAATCTGTCAGGTAACTGTAGTGCAGTATAAAGTACACTATGTAGTGGAGCAGAGTCTGATGAGTGTGAACTTAGTTAAACTGCACGACTGAGTGTGAGGACATGTTAGCAGACCTCCTGCTGTCATAACACACGTGTGTAAAACTGTTGACAGGACCAAAAACAAACTGCAGTCATCAGCCTGTGTGTTAGGATCTTTAATCCACTCAAGTTTTATGTGTGTGAAAGTGTGAGTGTAGCAGAGCTGTGTCTCACCCTCCACAGTCGGACCAGGATCCAGTTGGTCTGAGCCCAGGGTCTCTGCTCATACGGGGCCAGCAGGTTCCTCATCATGGCCACCCGTCTGAAACATGCGTGATATCAGCACTGATCAGAACACACGTCTGATGACATCACTCGATCGACTTTGATACAGTTTTTATTAGAATTATTATTATTCATTTATTTATTTTTTGACTTACAAAAACTAAGAACTCAAACCATGAGAGAAAATTGACCTGAAATAAAAATGAAAACTAGACTTAAGAGATAAAATGAAAACCGACGCCTGTGTGAGCGCGTGACGGCGGCGTCCCTGAACTGCTGCAGCGCTGCTGCTGTAACTACTGTATTTACACAATTAAAAGCCAATATTCTGCTCATGTATGGAGCTGTACTGAATTATTAATAACACAGTCCTGCAAATATTTCACAATAAAAGCCTGGTGTTGGGGTGTCCAGTAGCTCAGAGGGTAGAGCCGGCGCCCCATAAACTGCAGGTTTGATTCCAGCTGCTGAAGTGTTGTCTGTGTGATCGGCTCTTACAGTGTGCTGGAACAACAGAAACGATCTGACTGAATGTGTTTGCTTCAGCTGAAGCTGCAGTCTGATCACAGCTGACACATTTGGTCGTAAAGACTCAGAGGAAATCAGGTCACTAACAAAGGTTTGCAGAATCACACTTCAGATAAGTCTGTGTGTCGTCTGCATACGAGATGACCCACAGGAGGCATGTAAATAAAAAGAACCGATCATCGAGCCCTGAGTTCCCCCACAGTACAAACCTAGTTTACATCCAGAAGGATGGAGTGACCTTCAGCAGAGCAGTTTCTGTGCTGTTATCTTCACTAACATGTTGTTTCCATCAATAACAGTCAACAGTTGATCCGTTGCTACTTCTTCTAAAACCTCAGCTTCCAACAGGAGCTGAAGACGTGATGTTAGGTGGAATCAATGTTTGGATTTTTAATGCATAAAGAGGAAAAGAAACTAAACTGATGAGTCCGACCAATCAGAAAGAGTCCAGTTTAAACCAATGAGCACTCACTGTTCCTCTGGGATCCTCTCCACTGCCCTGAGGGATTGTGGGTAACAGACATAGCTGGCCAGGGCCTGCATCAGAGAGTCTTTGATATCTGAGAAGACAAGAGAAGAGATATCTATGATGACAACAACACATACGAGTTCCTCTCGACAACACCTGAACTTTAGTAACTGCAAGACAGAAATAAAATGTGTTACAGTAAAGTTTAACCCTCAGTGGAGACGTCACGGCATGTGGTCACCATCATGGATTTATGACATCTGTGAGGAGTGTTTCTGCTCCACTGGTTTCATGTTATAAGAGAGATTTATCATCTGTAGAAATCATCACGTGCTGAATAAACCAACAATAACAACCACATCTGTTTAATGAACACTGAACTGGAACATCAGATCAGATCACTTCAGCTGACAGCGTACCAACACTACCCTGCAGTACGTAGTTAGAATCACTTCATGGTTTTATAGCGGTGAAGATTCTCAGTCATCCAGGCGTATCGTAGGCAACTGGATTCAAGAAACTCAAGCAAGTCCAGCTGCCTACGATATAGCACTTAAGATTAGGGATACATGATATATATTGTGCCAATAAATTATTGGCTGATAATGGGATATTTTTATAGTTATGAGTTATTCCGATAATTAAAATTATAGCTGATAAAAAGTGCCGATAATACAAAGCCAGACTGCTTTCACTGACTTAACAAGGGCAGCGTCTACACACCGACACAGTGGGTGGAGCTACATGTTTGCAAGCTGCTAATAAACACGGAGAAGAAAAACAACAATGATTGCAGCACGCTGCCTAGAAGGTGAAACATGTTGCGGAGTGGACGTCTTTCACAGGTCCAGAGGAAGACAACAGGACGGCGCCGAGGGTCTGATCTCCGACCGCCAAACACAGGTTAGACACAGAGCGTTAGCATGAGCTAATCAGAAGTAGCAGCTAACATTCAACACAGTAACACTGGGCTTCATCATCATCCTCCTCTGTCTCACCATTAACGTCACATTTAATACTGATAAAGTAATTTTGTATTTCTGATGTCCACCTGTAGTGTAGGGTTATATGGGGGCGGGGCCAGTGAAGGTAGACCTGACGTTGGCAGGTATGAAGAGTCACACCTGTTGTTTGTGTTTGTTGTGTTAGAAGCAGTGAAGTCAGTTTGATGTGGAATATTAAACCAGCCTTTCTGACCCTCAGTGAACACAAACTACAGGTTTACACTTCTTTTTAAAATACAAAAAGGTGAAATTACCTGTTATGGTATCGGCCATGAGAAGCAGGTAATTTATCGGTTATCAGTATTGGTTGAAAAAATCCATGCCCATGTATCCCTACTTAAGATTCCTGGTTTTACGTTCCAGAAGCTCCGGCCCATTCAGTACCAACTATATATATCTCTGTGAGGTCACACAGATCAGCAGACATCTGAGGAACTGGTAATAAATACATCAACAAACACAGAGAAGAGTTTACGATTTCATTTTCTCTGAAGAGTTCAGGTAAAATCTTGTGTTCAGATAGAGACGATGAGAGAAAACAGAGAGGTTAAACTCTCTGTTGGACACGTTTTAACGTCACTGCCGTGTTTCCGTCCTGCTGTAACTGGTGGTCAAACTCTTTCCAGAGCTTCTGTGAAAGTCTGTGACAGGAAGTGACTGATGAGGCTGAGGTTCACGCTCACTGATAAGAAGCTGATTGATCGCGGTGGTCTGATCATGATAAACTGACTCGCAGCTTCCTGGAACATCCAGTCACTTCGAAATATAAAACCCAAACACACTGAGAGCTGATGGACAGAAACCAAAGACGAGCATCAGGTCTCATCAGGCAGCTGCACTTTATGTAAATCAGATCTTTCTGTGGCTCATTTACATCCCGAGTCTTTAGTTGATACAAACACAAAGTTTAACACCTCCGATGGTGATGTGAGAGACACGTGTGTGTTACTGTGACAGAATACCATCATGACAGACAGGAGAAGCTTCATTACTGCAGAGAATAACACACATAGGTGAATTCACAGAGAGTGAATTGCAGCTGCTGATGGGAACATGAACAGTGCATCAGCTGAAGCTGCTGTCTGCAACGTCTCAAAGTCCAGTTCACCAAAGATGAGGTGCTAATGACACTACAGCACAAACACGCTGTGTCTGAGTGCAGTCATCCATGTGGAGGAGCGCTCAGTGTCGGGGTTATTATTATTTATTCTGTACATTAATAATATAATATAATAAGGATTATAGTTTAGAGCATAATAATAAATCTAGTTATTTCCTTTCTTTGGTGTTGTTGATATTCTGGGTTCTACTTTGGTTGATATGGTTTTGCTCCTACTTTTCAGATATGAGTTTCTCTGTGTCTCTTGGTCCTGTCAGCTCTTTCCATTCTTCTCCATTCTTCACAACTGTTTGTTGCCATCAAGGACTGGACGTCAAACTATTACTTACAATTAAACACAGACAAGATTCTGATAATATCTCCAGGAAGTAGAGCTTCAGAGGTTAGTGTTGGGTCCCTGTCTTCAGCTATACGGTCATGTTTTAGGAATCTTGGGGTTATTTTTGATCATGCATTTTGATCATCATGTTAAATAATCAACCTGAACTTGTTTTATTCGGCTAAGAAACACTGCAGAGCTCAGATCTGTGGTGTCTCCACCTGAGCTGGAGATGATGATGCATGCTTTTGTGTCCTTCTGACTGGACAACTGTAAATCTCTTTTGACTTGTCTAAACAAATCTTAAGCTTCTTCAAAAAATCCAGAACGCTGCTTCTCAGCTGTTAAAAAGGTCCAACAGGTCGACTCACATCACTCCCATTCTAGTGTCTTTACACTGGCTTCATCAGTTTCAGGATCCACTTCAAGATACTTGTTCTCATGTACAGAGCCACGGCCAGGCACCTGAACACATCAGTGATCTTCCCCATTCAGATATCGTCAGTAGGGTCTTCAGAACAGGACCTACTGACTGCCCCCCAACTCCAGACTCATTACTACAGCAGTGGCTCCAACACTGTGGAGCTTTCTTTCATCAGGTTTACTGTCTGTGATCTCTTGAGAAATTTTGAGCTTTGTTTAAAGTGGCCTTCGTCCCACCCTGAACTGTCAGGTGTTTGTTCCCTGGTATGTTTCTGTCTGAGGCCTCAGCAGCCTGTATCTGCTCTGTGCTCTACTTTAAGAGTTTTAGTCCGACTCCCTGCAGCAACAGTGCTCTTATCATCTTTCCTCCCAATAAAATCAAAGTGATGAGAATGTTTCCAGCTGCTATGGTCAGAGGTTCCAACAAGCTCACTGCTTTATAACGTGCAGACGCAGCATGATTATCACTAACATGAGTCAGCTGATGTGATGTTGTGTTTCAAGTCAGTAGTCATGTGATAACAAACGTAACGTTGTGACGGCTTGTTTGGTTTTGGAGTAACGAATATTATTACTTAGATTTCATTAGTAATTAGTTACACTACTTGTTACTGTAAAAAGTAATATATTACTGTAATGTATTACTGTGCAGCACTGTCAGAGACACATCAAAGCTTCTGCAGTGACAGTGGGGTATTTACTGATGTAGAACAAAAGGTGAAAGTCTCTTCAGCTTGTGTTGACCACAGACCTTATTTCACACACTGAATCTAGAACACACAGACTTGAACACGTGGGAACAGGAAGTGCTAACATGCTAACATGCTAACTCATTTCTGGCTGTTGGGACTCACTCCTGCAGAACTCTACTGCGTGCAGCTGTTAGCGCTGAATGGAGCTGTTCCAGCATCGAGGCTCATGAAAGGGTCAGTTTTACACCAAATGTATCCCATAATTTAAATACCAGCACAGAGCGCTGCCTGGCAGCACAGCTCTGGAGGTGTTTCATCTGTTCAGAGTTTCTGTTTGTCTCATTTGTGCAGCACCATTCCTGTGTGAATTCACCCGCCAGTGCGTGTGCGTGTGTGTGTGTGTGTGTGTGTGTGTGTGTGTGTTACCTGTTCCTACTATACGAGGGTCTGCAAAGTGCTTGGCGAGGATAGCAGCTAGCTGGGTCAAGGTGTCCTCGTAGCCTGTGGGGACAGACAGACAGACACATGTGTGAAGTTGTGCTGATGTTCAGCTGACAGCTCACGTTCCAGTCCACCTGGATTCTACTTCACCGAACAGTGAACAGCTGAACCAGCAGCAGGCTGCATGTGACACACAGCTAATGATGACACAGTGTGAGCGTGTGCTTCCAACGAGAAAACAACCTCTTCCACAGAGCTGCGTCAATAAATCAATCTGTGCTGCTAACAGTTAATACAGCGGGCATTAACTGTTAATCCACAGACTCCAGACCAGTGTTAACAAGCCTCAGTAATATCACCTCAACACACTGACAGGGCAACGTGGAGAGAGCTCATGTTACTCTGTATATGTGGCAGATACATCGTATCACCAAAGAGTCCGTCAGTTTTAGTCTCTATTAGGACATGTGTCCACGTAGCAGGGCTGAACCCCAACTGAGACTGTTCCTAGTGGACCAACAGTCCTCATCAGGGTCCATCAGTGGACCATCAGTCCTCATCAGGGTCCATCAGTGGATGGTGTTCGTCCTTCACCTTCTCAAAATGATCCCACACTTTGGATTTCCTGCCCAACATGTTATTAACTAGCCTGTGGAATAACCGCAGGTACCAGCCCTGGAGATTAACCTGACTCCTGTCTGACTGCTGAGCGTGGACACTTCCTGTGTCTGTCCTTTCAAAGTAAAGTCACACATGCTCCAGTCATATAGGTTTGGGCTTATTTTGACAAGGTGCAGCTCCTGATAGAGTTTCACATTTGCAGCGACTGATGACCTTTCTGGTCGACTAACGTTTGATCAACTGTCAGGTGGCAGCTCGACCACATAGCATTGTTTTGTTGTTTTTTTCAACAGAAAGGCAGAGGCAGGGTGCGGGGGAGCGCTTTGTCCCAGTGCGGTATTTTGCACTTTTTTGCACTAGCCCACTCAGTGAGTTTTATGTCTTTGAAAACAAACGTTTAGGGTGGTTTTACGACAGGTTCACACATGGCCATATGCAGCAATGTTAAGCCAGGCAGGGGAAAGACAAATTCTCTGAAAATGAGCAATCGTCACTGTTTTGGTCTTTACCACTCTATTTCATCATAAACAACCCAGAAATGGGGCTCAAAGTGCAAAATACCAGACTTCTCCTTTAATAAAAAAAGGGTTTCAGAGAACTCAGTGTTTCACCTGGCAGCTCCTCCATGCTGTTTGCAGGGCTGAAGTAGTTCTTCAAAGCGCTGTACGCATTCATGGCCACGTTGAGGTAGAACTCTGGAGCAAAGGCGAACAAAGAGCCGGTGTTGTCTGCATGTTCGATGGTCCGAATACAAACACACAGCAGCCAGTACACGTCCAGCATCTTCTCCTGTAGACAGACAGACGGACAGACATGATGATTCTTCACTTAGATTCACACAAGCTTTTTATCGACTAAAACTATGAAAGAAAAAATGACTAAAATGCGACTAAACCTAATAAACATCTTCTTCTCAAGACTGAATCTAAACCAGCTGTCACAATGAACACACTAGTTTTGTCTTCATGTCAGTAATCAACCGAGAAGTCTCATGGTGATATCTATTAGATACATTTTTTACCCCAGTGTTTTATTTTTTGCCTAAAAATGTTTTACCGTCCAGATCTTAATCCACCCCACGTTACAGTTTGGTTCCTGTCTGTATTCTGAAGGTTTTTACAGAGCAGTTTGTTCCTTTATGATTCACAGCCCGATTTATAGAACATCTTATTCATAAACACATGGTGGAAATGGATTTATTTTATGGCTGTTGACTGTATTTTTTGATTTATGGAGTGACAATAAGAGACATCCAAACTCCCTCTGTAAAAACCTTTTACTCTAATATGTGAACAAAGTGAAACAGGAATTTTTAAACTGGCTTCATCCAATGTTCAGGTTTATGTTCTGGAGATGTGTGTAACTCAGTGAATATGTGATATGATAATTCCTCATTTACATATTCACACTTTAAATTTCAGAAAACAAATAAATTAAACAAGCATGTCTTAATTTAAGGCTGCGCTGACACCTGTCCTGTTCAGTTCGTTTGTGCAGGTGTGAACACAGCAAAACAATCAGGCTCTGTGGCAGCACAACGCCACATTACACCTGTAACGTGTACAAGATAAACTCAAGATGAGCTGCTGACAGAAAGACTCACATGTAACTATCAGCAAAAGGTCAATAAAACCTGACGGATGGACTGACAGACACAGACACAGACAGACAGACAGACAGACAGACAGACATGTGGAGGACGAGGATCACCTTGGAGTAGATGGTGGCGTTGATCCAGGCTAGTCTCCTGCTGAGGTGGTTCAGCTTCTCTGCAAAAACCTTCTGGCTCTTCTGGAGCTCGTCCAGGATGTCTGGTCTCTGAGGGGCACAAATCAGCGTCATGACATCACCCGTGACTTCACCATTGTCACCATTACACACACTGTTTCTGTTGGTGCGGTCTGAGGACGCCAGAGGACGGAGACATGAAGCTGCACGTGCTGAATGAACTCATATACATGTAGAGCTTTGTTTGTGTGTGTACATTACATCTCCCTCCATCCATCCATCCATCCATCCATCCATCCATCCAACTATCCTCCTGGAGGACCCGAGGTGTTCCCAGACCAGATGAGATCTATAATCCCTCCAGTGTGTTCTGGGTCTGCCCCGGGGCCTCCTACCAGCTGGACCAGGAGGATCCTGATCAGATGTTGAACCACCTCAACATGAAGGAGCAGCGGCTCTACTCCGAGCTCCCTCCAGATGTCTGACTCCTCCCCCTATCTCTAAGACTGAGCCCAGACACCCTACAGAGGAAACTCATTTCAGACGATTGTATCTGTGACCTCATTCTTTCAGTCACTACCCAGAGCTCATGACCATAGGTGAGGGTTGGGACGCAGATGGACCAGGAAATGGAAAGCTTTGCCTTCTGGCTCAGCTCCCTCTGAACCACGACGGTCCGGCACCAGCATCACTGCAGACACTGCACCAAACCACCGATCCATCTCACACTCTATTCTACCCTCACTGTGAACAAGATCTTTGAGATACTTGAGCTTCTTCTCTTGGGGCAGTAACTCTCCCAACCCAGAGGTCCATCCATCAATCCACTGTTCTCCAACAGAGAACCATGACCTCAGACTGGAAGGAGCTGACTCTCATCCCGACTCAGCTGCAAACCGCCCCAGGTCATGCTGGAGGTCACAGTGTGACGACGCCAACAGTTCCACATCATCTGCAAAGAATCACCACCTTAACATGATGGAGGGGTTTGTGTGTCCCTGTGTTGTCCGGAGCTAACAGCCCCTGGTAGGGTCTCATGAGGCACAGTGGTCCCAGGGGAGGGGCCAGACTGAGAGCAGTTAAAGAAGACCTCGATGAAACGCACATTTGGGAAAAGAGACCTCGCCCAGTATGGGGACACCAGGGCCACGGAAGCTTGCCAGCAAGCGTCTGGTGACTGGGCCTTCGAGCCTCAGCCCGAATAAATGACATGGAGCCGCCGCCTTGTGGGCCCACTACGTGCAGGGACTGACATCGGGGCCAAGTGTATTGTGTGCCGGACAGCAGCCGTGCTGACCCCCGGTGTCGCAGACAGGCTGTGTATACCTCCATTACATTATATTCCTTTGTTCCTGTGTGTCTGAGGTGAGTCTGTTGGATACTGCTGAGTTCACGTCACAATGTTTGGTTTGTTGGTGACTGCTTGTGAATAAATGTGGGACAGCTCATGGACATTATACGTTTACAACTCATACTTTGAGGATATGAGAGTTCTTAATAACATAAATCCATGTGAAGAACTGTTGCTGACATGTCAGGAGGCCATGTTCACGAGCCAACTTCTGTGGAAACAAACTACGACTCAAACACAGAAAACAACCTGAATGATGGGACCTGAATCACCAACTCCTCCTGCAGTCTGATCACAGACTGTCGTCACAGCTGTGAGTTTGCTTCAAACCAAACTAACTTTAAAGTTAATTGCAATTATTTCAATTTGCATAATGATGTTAGTGTCTGGCCTTGTTGCAGTCGCAGCAGGATTTTCACCTCCCTCTGCACTCAGTGCCAACACACCGACAGATGGTTAAAGTCCCTCCTCACCTGCAAACTCCAGGCTCCATCCTTCATAATCAATACAGAGTATTTGGTTTTTGTGCAGACAATCGTCCTCTGTGACCATGTTGGTCTTCAGGTTTCTGCTGACACGTGTGTTCTGCATGAAGCTAATGAGACGACAGGCTGACGGCTGTGTGGACTGGAGCACGACCAATTACCTTCAACTGAGCTCCAACAAACAAAAACTAATCACCTCTGACTTTATAACGAGTTCACACTGACAAAAACAAACTGATGAAGAGAACCATGAAACTAAAACATTCAGTTAATGTGATAAAACACAGGAAGGGTTTGAAACAGAGACAGAGCCTGAAGGACCCCAACACACACTGATCTTACTTTGGCAGGGCAGCGTGCGATCTTCTCCTCCGTGTCCTTCAGAGCAACAGCGTATTCATGGACGTCATCTGAAACCACCACCATCTGAAAGACAGAAAAAAACTTAAGGATCTTGTTTTGGATCTGTAATATTCAACCAGGAGGCCGTCTGGTCGGCAGAGTTTCCTGTTTGCATTGTTTTATTTGCTTCTTCACTTTCAGTTGCTGCGATCTGTTCACTGAACTGTTTCAGCCCCATCGCTGGTGTCACTGACAGACAATGTATGAAGTAGCTGTGTGTTCTCACGGCATTTAAACCATATTTGGTTGATTTCATGGACGTCACGGGTTCTCTGAGTGCTGCAGTTGGTGAGCAGTGATTTTTGATCAACCTTTTAATTCTAAAATCATCTGTTCAGGCTGTTGAGTAGAGAGAAGAAGAACAAAGTCTGTCTGTGGACATAAACTCCTTAAAGGACAACTTTGGTATTTTTCAACCTGGGCTCTATTTCCCCATGTGTATGTGTGCGTATGATTCATGGGTACCACTCGTTCTAAAATTGGTTCAGTATTGAGCCGCAAAACGAGCTAAAATGGTAATGGGGGCAAATGCGTCCCGTATAAAAGTGCTTTTTTTCGCCACTGACCGGTTCAGATCGCCAGTGCTATCTCTGTAGATAGCATATGGTAGCAGCCCTGGGGCAGTGGTGAGTGTGAATGAGTGGAGTCAGCTGTCAGTCAGTGTTGGAGCAGAGAGGAGGAGGGCGGCCCCGCTTGGTACTGTAAGTGAGTATGTGTGTGTGAAGTGTGTGTTACGCTAGAAGAGTCAGAGGACGGAGTCTTTTACGTGCTACCCCCTGGAGTGTTACCGGAGTTTTTGGAGTGCTCAAATAAACGGGCCTTTTTCCTGAACGCAAGAACAGGATGTCGTGCAACACCCCGTACAGCTTTCACAGGCTGCCTTTGTCGGACGGAGAGATGCTGAAGTTGTGGCTAGTTGTGCTACAAATGGATGCTAACACTCCTGTCCAGACACTGCGCCTTGCAGACCATCGGGTCTGCAGTGCTCACTTCTCCCAAGATGACTACTGCCAGCCGAAGAAGAGAAGACATCCAATCCCGAAACACCTCTTCCTCAAGAAAACGGCTGTCCCACGAGTAGAGAGAGCTACAGACACAGTGGAGCAAAGCTCGTGACATCACACAGCCCAGAGGTAAGGGAGAGGCTAAGTTAGCATGCTATTTACAGAGATCTGAACCGGTCAGTGGCGAAAAAAAACACTTTTATACGGGACGCATTTGCCCCCATTACCGTTTTAGCTCGTTTCGCGGCTCAATACTGAACCAATTTTAGAACGAGTGGTACCCATGAATCATACGCACACATAAACATGGGGAAATAGAGCCCAGGTTGAAAAATACCAAAGTTGTCCTTTAAATAAATCTGGAGATGGAGAAGAAGTTTCCTAGTTTTTGCTGTGAAGTTTTGCTTCCGGTTACTGTGCGCCTGTTTAATGTTTTAAACTGTCAGTAGAGTAACGACACTACGCAGAGTTGGACCACAGAAAGCGGACTGACCAAACGATGGCCGAAGGATCAGGACCGGGACAGACAGGCAACAGGTCGGCCCACATCCCTTACCTTCAGCCTGACAGCCAAACCTCACTCTCTGCTAATATATGTACGGGCGGCCAAGCCCTGGGAGCCTCAGACGAGTGTTTGCCCTCAGTTATGGGGCTGGTTGTGTTTTTATTTTGTGGTTGGTATTTTCTGATCAGCTGGTAGCAGCAGGAGGTTTCTGCAGGTCTGTGAATTCAGCTGACTGCAACCACAAACAAACTGTTAACTGGATGCATGAAACACTGACCTCACACTGACCTGAACACATCAACGTTCTCTGCTGAACACCATGCTCCCTTATTGGTCCATAAATCGCTCTATTTGAAACACCTCACTACAACGCTCTGCTCAGACGATGACCAATCAGAGAGCAGAGAAAGAATCACCTTTATTATAGGAAAAATGTCTAACTCAAATCATACGCTCCTGAACGGTGGCGGAGTCTCATCATCACCACACAGAGCTATAAAGGCTGCGGCAGCGTTCACCTGTGATGAGTCGTATCTTTGAATGAGGGAAGAGAAGTGACATCAGCAGAGAGGTGAAGAGGTCAACCGTCGGGAGGAACAACCTCTGATTCAACAGCGGAGCAGGAAAATGAGAGAGATGGAGCACGGAGAGACGGCAGGGAGAAGGAGGAGTGTCATCATCAGTCAGAGGAAAACAGTCATTAATCTGCTTATTAAAGAAAACCATAAAGATTTATCTTCAGATTCATATTTAACCACAAAAATCACAGAAAGCAGAGAAACACCGTCGCAAAGAGCCGCCTCCATGTCTGATGCAAACATTACCCATGTGCACGGCTGCAGTACGAAGGGTCACATTCAGAGGTCAGGCTGTCTCACAGGGGTTAATAAAGCTTCACTGATTCTGATCATGTCGTCTCCTCGGTGTGACACAGCCCGCAGAATAAAGACGGTACCGACTGATGATCACTGAGTCATCACTGTTCAAACAGCTGTGTGTCTTCACACTGTCACTACATGCACACACATCTGGAGCTCAGTAACGTCTGCAGGCAGAGTGACAGCAGCTGAAACCTGTGCTGATCTTTTCCTGTAAAAGTCATGTTATAGAGAATCAGCTGACACGGAGCTGCAGAGCTCAGAAAGACTTCCTTCTTTATCCCTCAAAGTTTCATAACTTCACCCTCTTCGCTGATTTGTTGGAAAATACTTTTCCCACGAAAATGACTGCACGAAGAGTCGTGATTTAAAGTTCAGCTCGACGGCCCCGCAGAGTCGGGTCGATGTCTGGTGTTGTTGGTCCAGTCTGGTGTACAAGCATGTACCAGTTCAATTTCATGCAAACCACCTGAACCAGCATTTGTCATTATGACAAGTTTTGGCAAATTAAAAAGTCGCCTACATCATGAACCTGTGCTGACGGCGTCACAGCGTTAAATCCAACTCATATAGCACTGATAATACACAACATGGTAACATGACATTTTGTTTACTAACTCAATTCCCAAATTTGGGATTTTGTTGAAATGACAAAATCCCAAGGTTTCCACAGATTTAGTTTCACAGACTCACCTCACCAGTCACCTGAACGTCTGTGTCTGTACTGCGGTTTCCAAACAACATAAATTTAGTTTTTTTCAAATTAAAGGACAAAAAGCTGCTACAGATTTTTTTTCCCAGAACAAAAAGCATCGCTGTCACCTGCGAATAAAACTACTTTTAATTTTCTGGACATCATACATATATCATTTATATACAAAATAAACAGTTTTGGACCCGATACTGACCCCTGTGGGACCTAATACTGACCCCTGTGGGACCCGATACTGACCCCTGTGGGACCCGATACTGACCCCTGTGGGACCTCATACTGACCCCTGTGGGACCCCCACAGTCATGTCTAGGCATGATATGCCGTCACCCATCTGCACAAACTGCTGCCTGTGTCCCTCAGAGCTTTTAACCCCTCTGATACCCTATCTGTCCAGTTTCAGTCACTTTGACACAAAACATGAAGAAACAGGCTCCAGGTTGAAAAATGCTGCAGTTGTTCTTTAAGATGTTGTAAGAAAAATGACATCACCGCGACTAAAGTCTGTATTCAGATCAGTCAGCATGCAGGAGACGACTCACAGTCACACTTCAGAGTTTATCAGAGTCTCTGTGTGAAGGTCAGATTCTTACATATGCATAAAATATGCAACATTAACCTTTTGTGTTTGGATCCTGACAGACGCTCACCTCACATTATAATATTCAGCCCTGTCTGACCCGCCCGTAAATCCTCTTCTTCAAAGGACGTGGATGTGTTGAGATCCCAAAATATTCTCCTGGTAACCAAACAGAGCTCCTGCCATGAACAGGAAGTACAAACACACACAGGTGTGTAAACAAAGACTCACCTTCCCCAGCTGCTGGTGGACACTCAGGTTGTACATCATCACGATCCCGTCAACTATCTCCAGCAGGGACTTGTCTGTGATTGGCTGATCGGGCTCCTCTAGTGGTCGTCCCAGCAACAGGCCGTCGTTACCATGGCTTCCCTCGACTGCAGGTTGAAGAGGAACCGAAAAGTTGACGATGAGTAAGAGAGGACAGGTGTAGGGTGCTCTGCAGGATCCAGTGGTGACGGCTGTTTCATCAGCATCACACTGTCTTTAATAAGACTTCATACACCAGTCAGTTAGAGAGAGGCTCCTCACAGGAAGAGGAGGAAACCAAGGCAGCATGCAGCAGTCTGACTCTGCAACAATAATGTCCCAATTATTTCAGAAATCAGAATCACCACCAGGTGGCTGTATGACTCCGCCCACCCATCAACTTTCTCTCACACTAAAACATGATGATGTCACAGTCAAGCTGACTTTTGACCGTTTGGATATAAAATGTCACTTCATCATTTTATCCCTAAAGTCCAGTTCAGACCAAAGGCTCACAAAAACAATGAAACCATTTTAGAACATAGCAGGGAAAAGTAGCAGCAGCTGGTCTGAGCTCGACTCAAGCCGGCTGATGATGTCACCTGACACTCAGCTGGTCAAATGGCCAAAAAGCTGCAAATCAGAACGGAAGCGCAGAGAGTTGTTGACTAGAGATGATACGCCGTCTCATGGCGGTCACTTCCTGTCGACGTTACAGATCAGAAGCACAGAGAGTTGTTGACTAGAGATGATACGCCGTCTCATGGTG